ACAATATAAGTCTTTATTATCACTTTTTTTCAATTTAACACATCCTTAATGAATAAAAGCATTAATTTCTTTCCAAAAAAAAAAGAAAGAAAAAAAATACTGACCCAAACTTTTAAACGGTAGTGTATATTGTTACATAAGATTTCTATCTTGAATAAATGGCTGTTCTTTATAACTTTTTATTCATCAAAGAATCCTGAAAAAAGTATCACAGGTTAAAAAACAATGCTGCTTAACAAATTAAGCAGCAAAACTGTAATAAATCAGCATATTAGAATGATTTCTGAAGATCATGTGACACTGACGACTGGAGTAATGATGCTGAAAATACAGCTTTGATCACAGAAATAAATTATATTTAAAAGTATATTTTTGAGAAAACCATTATTTTAAATTGCAATAATATTTCACAATATTACTGTTTTTTTCTGTATTTCTGATCAAATAAATGCAGCCTTGATGAGCAGAAGAGACTTCTTTAAAAAACATTACAAATCTTACTGATCCCAAACTTTTGAGCGGCAGTGTACGTCGGTATGCAGTTTTCCCTATTGCTCGCGTGCCATAGGCTGCTCCTTGTCCAGATGATGTCAACATTGGATCGACAAACAAAACTGTCAAATATTATCCTTTTTTGTATTAGCCATATAACAAGTATTATCTTATAACTGTATATTACTGTCATATGGAACAATCTAACCAGGGTTATAATAAAACTAAAACCATGAAAAAGCATTTTTGTTACTTGAAATAAAATAAATGTTAACCGAAACTAAAAAAATCCTAAACGTATTTGAACCATAAACTTATTTTCAGCTAGTTCCCAAAGAAACATTTCTCATTTTCATTGATGTACTAAAATAACTAAAACTAAAACTGTAAAAAAAAACAAAAAAAAACATTATAGACATATATAAAAAAATATATAAAAAAAAGACAAAAACACACAAAAAATGAGTACAATTTTAACAATAATTAAAATAAATGAAAACTATAATAGCATCTCATTGATACTGAAATAACACTCTGACACACTCATCTGTGGCTGATAACGGAATACTTGCATGTATTTGTACTAATTGTTACGTTGAAACGAGCATTTTCTGTAAAGCTGCTTTTAAAAACACTGCTTTGTACAAATAAACTTGAATTGAATTGAAATGGAGCATTTCACTAGGTGCTGAAACGGGTCTCTTGTGAACAGCTCAGTGTATATTAGCTCTAAATCCAGTGACTGTAAAAGATGAGCAGGACTGCCGTTCCACACGGATGTCATCTGTTTTCAGTTCCACGCACAGCCCTCCGGATCTAAACATGAGGCCGTGGTGAGGCTCAGACCCTGAGGTCATTCCCAGCCTGCTCTGCAGGATAAATCACACTGCGGTTCGGCGGTTACGGCTGCAGAGATGCGCTGCTGGTTCAGGAGGTTTTGGGTGGCACTGGAATGAGACTAAGTCACTAAACCTTTGACATTTAACCCTCAACACCCTAAATCTGTTGGTCACAAATAACCGCTGCGGTGCTGACGGAGTGTTCTGTTTGTAGTAAAACTCTGATCCTGTGCCGTCACATGAAGATTAAAGAGTCCGGCAATAAAAATCCCAGTTGGGCGAATCTCACAAAACCTGTCAAGAACATACCTGTGTCATATTTCAGCACAAAATCAAAAGAAATGTATCAAAAGAATATTTTGCATAAACGTAAACACAATTTTTAATAATGTAATGCAAAAATATATATCATTCTCAGAATGTATTAAATATTTATGGTTATTTATATTTTATAAATATTTATACAGTACATCATAGTAATGTTTGTTATGCTGAATTTAATATTTGCTGATTTTAATGAAAAAGCATTGGTTGATTTAGGTTAAATGTGCTTGTTTTACTTTGACATTTATGAAAATAATGTGAAATGCAAAAAATGTAATAATCAAATCAGAGGTGCCTATACTTTTTACTATGAAGAGACAAAAAATAAATGTTGCATTAAATTAAATGTTGGATTTATATTTTTAAAATGAAATTCAATGCAATGATCATTTCAATGCAAAAACAAATAAATAAAAATAAAGCAAAAAGATCAATTATAAATATATGCTTCAATGGCATGTTTTTTTCCCCTATAAATATTTGATGAAAAACTTAAAAAGCTTAAATGAAAATTAGAAATGTTGCCTTGGAAGCTAACTTAAAAAAAGTAACAAGTTCTAAAATTACTAAAATGAAAACTGAAATAAAAAGAAATGAAAATATAAAAAACTGATAACTAATAAAAATGGAAAGAAATCACACAAAATTACTAAAACTTAAACTAAAATTAAAATGGAAACTGAAAATATTATTGCAAATTATTAGGTTATATATCAAAGTATTTGCAAATGCATTCACAAATGTCAGTTGGTTGTTTTTCCTGATTTGGCCAAATCAATGATCATTATGGGCCAACTTTGGCCCGTGGTTTGAGCATCTCTAGTCTAAACCTAAATAATCTTGTCTTAATGCAAAGTATACATTTCTATCTTTTTTTTATTTGAATTATTTGTCTTTGAGATTCACACAGTTAATGAATGCAGATAAAAGTCATTTGCAAATCAGTTGAAACAGAATTTTCCCACGAGGTCCACAGTAATTTCGAGTCTACGATGTAAATTACTGATAGGTGTATATGTTATTTTTGGTTAATAATGTTACCCTCGTTGTCAGGGAGCGTCACGATGGCCCTGCTGGAGAATCTTCAGTCCGGTCAGGTGTACCTGGTGAAGGTCTCAGCGTCCAATCAGATGGGAGACGGGCCGTTCTCACCTGCAGTAGAACTGAGCGTGCGCGCAGACGCACACACCTCCCAAACACACGGCACAGGTGAATAACGGGTCCTGTGTAGTCATGCAGTGCCCTCTTTAAGCTGGGAGATGTTAATATTGCATTCAAATACATGATCTCATTTGATCCACATAGATGGCATAAACACACTTCACATCATCTTAATACTGTTTTTGTGCTCCATCCGCAGCGTTTTCTGATGGTTTCTATCACCTGGATCAGAGGTCAATGACGGGGATAGTGGTGGGCGTGTGTATCGCTTTAACCTGCATTATCATCTGCGTCCTCATACTGGCCTGCAGGAGTAAAACCAGGTAAGAAATTCAGTTATGTCATTGAAATAGAGCTGAAATAAAATAAAATAAAATAAAAACCTTAAAAATTTGAAATGTTGCCTTGGCAGCTAACTGAAAAATGTTTAAGCTGAAGTTACAATTACTGAAATAAAATAAAGCTACAGTAAATAGAAATATTATAAATAGAAAGGTTTTATTAGAAATATACATGGAAATATTAAAAATAACTAATAAAAATGACAAAAGCACATAACAAAATAACTAAAACTTTTACAAATTGAAATAACAACTGAAAATATAAAAATAAAAGCTAATTCAAAATATGAATAAATACTATAGTAGTATAATTTATCATTTGTGACCCTGGAGCACAAAAGCAGTGTTAAGTCGCTGGGGGATATTTGTAGCAATAGCCAAAAATACATTGTGTGGGTCAAAATTATAGATTTTTCTTTTATGCCAAAAATCATTAGGATATTAAGTAAAGATCATGTTCCATGAAGATATTTTGTAAATGTTCTACTGTAAATATATCAAAACTTACTTTTTGATTAGTAATGTGCATTGCTAAGAACTTAATTTGGACAACTTTAAAGGTGATTTTCTCAATATTTAAATTTTTTTGCACCCCCAATGGTTGTACCTCAGCCAAATATTGCCCTATCCTAACAAACCATACATCAATGGAAAGCTTATTTATTCAGCTTCCAGATGATGTATAAATCTCTATTTTGAAAAATTGACACTTAAGACTGGTTTTGTGGTCCAGGGTCACATTCATGCATAGTATAAATCATACATAAAAAACACTGTTGCAAGCCAATAAACTTTTTTTTGTTTTGTTTGCTAATTATTGCATATTATCGGGCTATATATCTAAGTAATTACAAATGCATTCTCAAATGTCAGTTAATTGATTGTTTCCATGATGATTCTGTTACTGACCTGCATTATTCGTGACAGGAAATCTTCCGCTACCAAATCCATCAGACAAGCTGGAGGACAGACTCCGCCCACTGCTGTCCGTCTGGCCAATCAGAGTCAAGCTGAGAGTGTGGAGGTGATGATGCCCATGATGAGGGATCATTTCATCGACGCAAAGGTATGTTTAAAATGACACATTCCTGCCTAAAAATACCTTGTGTGTGTGTGTGTTTGTTTTATAGCAGACAATGTCCTTTGTGGAAACAATATTCTGATGAATGTGTTTTACTGTTTTAGGGTGGAACAAATCTGATCATTAACAGCTATGGGCCAGTGAAGCCCACTGTTGAGAAGAAGAGAAGAAAGAGATGGAACTTCTTTAAGAGGGATAACAAGGTATGAAACCGTTACAGTTTTATTAAAGAAACGGTCAGATAGAGCCATAATCTAACATCCGGCACAAAAGCATCATGACGGCTGAGAGCATCAGCAAAAGAAATATGAAATTGAAATATGAAAAGAGGTTTTGGGGAAGAAAAAACACTGAAAACAATGTTTTTAATTTTTAACAATATTCGAAATTATACAATATAATATATTATGTTCATGTAACATTATTATAGTAAAACTATTTATGTTTAAATTATTTGAAATGAGTATAAATTGAAGGTAGTAAATACTGCCATGATGTATAAATCTGTGTTAAGGTAAAACTATTAAAAATCGTTTCCATTAATTGAAATAAAATTGGAATAAAATGAAATCAAGTATTAGATTACATATTTAAACTTTAAAAACTTACAGATTTTAAATGTTGCCTTGACAGCTATCTGAAATAAAATAAGATTGTTGATATACTGACATTGCTAAAACTGAAATAGAAGTAAATTAAAGCTAATTAGAAATGTAAAAGACAAAAGCACATGGAAAAATAAAAAAATTAAAAATTATTTATAAATACTATTATAGTATATAATAATAAATAAACTGAAATAACTGGTTATTGAAATAATAATTATAAGAACATATTATTAAAAAAATAATGTCTTATTTTAATTAATTTAAATAATGTATCAGTTTTTTTACATTACATTAATGAGAATTTGGGGGAAATTAACTTTATTTTCTTAATGTCGCAATCCCAAAAATAAAACAGGCTTAATTTTTTTGTTTGTTTTCTGCATTTTTAAGCAAACAAAAATGTTGTATCTGTTCCATTATGCTTTTGGGTTGAATTATGACAGGGTTTATGAGACTCGCTCAGGTTAGGTCTCTTCAGTTCTGAAAGCCTTTCTTTCTTTGCTGTTTACTGGTGTTTTCTGCCTCCATCAGGATGTGAAGAGGGTCTCCAGTCCTTCTTATCCCTATCATCATGGCACCACCCTGCTGTGTTACACGGAAACCTCTCCTCAACACCCGCCGTCCTCTCTGCAGGGCCTGTTTGGGCCACCGGGGGGCGACAGCGAGGGCTCTCATTCCAGCGAGGGCAGCCACGAGACGGGCGACTCGGGACGCTACTCTCACGATGACACCGAGGCGACCAACCTGTCTCTGGGTGTCGGCAGTCACCCGGCCTCCCTGCGGGGCGAGGAGAGCGAAGCGTCGGCCGAAACGCCCGTCCACGAGGTTACAGAGAAAGAGCTGCATCTCCACATGATCCCAATGACGGAAACAACACTTCAGGAACAGGAAATGATGGAGACGCATCCTGTTTAGCACAAAACGCTTATGCCCTCTGGCGCCCCCTGCTGCTTAAACGGACTACTGAGCAGTGCTGGACGACCCGAGACGTCCACATGGCCCTCTTTCTCGGTGAATGTATTTGTTTTTGTCTTTCATAAAAGATTGTGTGTCTGAAAGAAACTAGAATCTCACCCACCTTGAATGTGTTAAAAAAAAAAACGTCCAAAACGTGCGACGTGAATGTCACGTTTCTGACGTAACCTCAGCGAGAGGGAACGGAAAACCTTTCTTGACTTCCTAATCTACCTCAGTTTATCTACTAAGTATTTAATGTCCACTTATACACCCGACAGCGTTATTTTCAGCATTAGTTTGTGTGCTTGTTTAATCCTGAAGTGTGAGAAGGTTTTTTACCCGTCCTGAGTTGGCGAGATGCAGTTTGTCATGAAACTGCTGTGTGTCAGCCAATCAGAACATAGTTGCTGTTTAATATGCAGGACTTGGGACCAATAGGAATAATCACAGTGGGCGGAGCTACCCAGCTCATTGCATTTTTGACCTACCTCAGGTTCATAAACGTTAAACTTTCAGTTGAATGTTTTACTCGGTGATGTTCACGTATGATTTATTTGCGACTCCACTTCAGGTCACGTTAGATTTCTCAGGTTCGTCGTATGAATGTGTGTATTTTTGCTCTTATAGTCCCTGGTTTATACTACCTCATTTTACCTTTGAATTTTTAGCAGTAGTCGTGTCTGATTTTCTTTATCTCAGGGATCATTTGAAAGCCATGTGTTTTGTACAGTGACATGGTTTGATGGACAGGGTTTTTTCCGGGCGGTTGACCCGTACTGAATGTGTGTGTTTGACCTCTGTTGCGGAGATGGATTTATTTTTCCGTAGTTTATTTCTTCTTTTGAGTACAAAGTAACCAAAAATGCTGGGTGCTTCTTAGTTCGGCAAAACTGATAGCTTTTAAATAATGGCCTTAACGTGTGAAGAGCTGCAGATACACGAGCGAGAGATTGATTTGATTGCAGTCCGAGTGAATGTTCTGAAAACCAAAAATAATAATCAAATCTGAATGATCATGAAACCTTTTTGCCTCCAAAGATATCTATTTTTCTCCACATACAGAATATGTACTACTGAGTACGCATTTTAGTTACTTTAGTGCTTTGAAATAGTTGATGCTATTTTAGATTTAGGATCATGAGTGTAGCACTTGTCTTTCAGATTAGCTTGGAGTTGTTTGTATTTCACGCAGCTCGATGTGCAACGGTGACACGCCATCATCTGCAGAGCTGCTTGCTCGTTCATGTCTTCTTTCTGGTTCGCTGGTCTTTGGGATGATAAAATGACAATGAGATTATCCATGAATCAAACCAAAGATGTTTCACCCAGAGACCAGCGAACGCCTGTTCGGTTCGGAAAAAAGAGCTGCTTTAAAGAACTCCTGCGACCAAATGAGGTGGAGATGCCCAGCTTTACAAAATCTCATGAATACATCACATTTCACTCCAAAATCAACAGGGAAAAAACAAGAAGTTGAATTTTGCATAAAGAATATCAAAGCTTATTTTAAGTCCATTTAGATTATTTATATTGTGACATTATTTTCATGAAAATTAAGCACATTTGACCCCAAATTCTCATTTCCATCATTTCATTACCAAAATATTTTTAATGTAATATCATAAATTAACTGCTCATTTGTCATGATAAAAAAATAATTGTCATTATTTTATATAATTGTCATGATATAAAATATATTTTATATTACATTATATTAAAAATATATCATAAATGCATTGCTTAATTGTCATAAAAATATATTTTTGATGTAAATCATGCATTTATTGCTTATTTGACATGATATAAAATAATTGTCATCATGATATAAAATGTAAATATAATCTAAAATATATTTTTAATGTAAATAATCATAAATTAATACCATGCTTAATTGTCATGGTATAAAATAATTGTCATGATATAAAATATATTATATTTTGTAGATTTAAATCATAAATTAATTGTTTAATTGTCATTTTGGAGCTGCAAAATATAATTTATGTTTATTTTGGAGTCAAATATTAGCCAGAAATGTTCTTGATCGGCTTTATGAGATTCACCTCAAATGTCGCAGTGATCAGTTTCCCTCATTAGAATTTCAAGCTCAGCATGGATGTTATTGTACATGAGAATCATATACAGAGAGAGATATTATATTATATTAACATTCCATGTGGCTGAAATTCTTCTCAATCAGGGGAAATTGAAAGCTCGCAGTATTTCAATCAGAGAGACACAATCAATTTATAATTTTTCTTTTTTTGAAGCAAACAGCCTGAAACCAAAGAATGTGGTCGCCGTTGCACAGAGCATTAATGTAGATTCTTTTGCATGTGTTTTGTCATGTTTCAAAGCGTTATTCCTGAGTAGATTTGATATCTGCTTACTGAAAGGATATCAGGAAACCAAAGACAGTGTTACGCCGTTGTGCTTTCAATCCTTTGTGACTTTCAAGCAAACCAAAGATGATGGATTTCATGCCTTTTGTTTCCTTTTACAACTTTTCTCACTGGAGGGGAATTATTGTATTGTTTTTTGTTGTTGTGGGGGATTAATAATGCACCCTAGATTTGATGAAAGTACTGACTTAATATGGTTTCGCTTTCCTGCTGAAGAAAACAGCCAAAAGCTGCTGGTCTTAGCTGGTTTTCCAGCCTGATTAGTGTCCAAGATCATGCTAAAAAAGTCTCCAGACCTGCTTCGGCTTGTTTTCAGTAAGATTTGATGCTGGGATTGATGTTTTTGATGTACATTTCAATATGCTTTAGTGTTTTAGAACAATATTGATCGTTGTGTTAAATTGTTAACTTCACATCTGGGTTTTCTTTGTGTATGCAAGTGTAATTCCATGCAGTTTTCTTCAGCTAAAAGTTGCACATTAGAAATGCAACGTCATAAAAAGTGTCAAATGTTTAGCGTCTGCATGTGCTGATCAAACAGATGACCTCTGTTCATGTAAGATAAAAACTCGGGCTGCTTGTCACGTTTACCCACCCACCTAATGTAGGTGATTTTACTCAGGAAATAATATTCATGTCACTTTATTCAGTGCTGATGTGAACTGCACTTGCTTAAACTCTCTTGATTTTCTGTTGAAGTTTTGTTTGTTCTGAATTTGTCTGAACTGAATAATAATATTAAGGGAGATCTTTGTAAACTCTTGACGCAGTGATGGTTTGGTTTCCGTCACACTGCAGCAGTAAATGTATCTATAAGCCTTAAAAACTGAATGTATTTCTTAATAAATAAAATTCCACTTGTAAGTATTCTGCTTTACTTTCCAAATACATGTACCATGTGTTTATTGAGTTTTTTTTTTCTGTTCAGCAATATGGTGTAATGTTTATGCCAAAAAGGTATACCCCCACCACAAATAGATTGTTTATAAAGAATGATTTCCAGTTTAAATAAAAATGCTGAAAATTTAAAAATGTTGTCTCTTCTCTCTTAAAGAATTAGTATTACGTTTTATATATATATATATATATATATTACACACACACACACACATACACGATTCATATTATATATACTAATATATATTAACATATTACAGTTTGTGGCATATTACTGTAAAACAATTGTAAAAAAACATTAGTATTATTTAGTTAGTATTGTAATATATATATATATATATATATATAAAAGAAAAAAACATACAATTTCGTATAAAAAGTAGACCAATTTATAGTGCAGAAATAGGTGAAATAAAAAAAAAAAATAAAGGCAAAGTAAATTAATGGAAACAAAGGAAAGTGGCTTAAAGGAATGTAGATAGATTTCTGACTTTATGTTTGAAAGAAATTTGTTTTTTTCAAAATAAAATAATTAAAATAAAATAAAATGTGTCTGACATTATTTTGCACCTGTGCCCTGTGTTGCAGGCGCATATTACTGCCGCCACACAAGGTAAATAAAAACTTTAAAAATGACAGCACTTCATAATAATATAACATTACGTCAGCAAATCATCATCATCATCTTCATCATCATCGCGCGGGTCGGTGGCGCGTGTAACATCAAACGCGACATCAGACACACACACGCTCCGCCCACAATCCCCCTCACCGCGCCGCTTTTCACTCCACGTTGAAATGTGCCGCGATCAAGTGAACAAAACAAGCGGAGCTGTCGTTCACTTCCGTGAACTGCCCCGTAAAACAACAAGTCAAAGGAGTCCGCTCCTCCCAAACTTTGCGCACGGGTGCAGCTTTCCTGCTCGAAACTACTATGGCGAAAGCTTAGCTTTTGAATATTAATTAGGCCGTGCTGACGTTCTTGCCTATGGTTGAGGACGTCCTCTTTAATATTAATTACCTCTGAGAACGTTGCGGTCTTCGTCTCATCAATATTAAACAGATGACGTCGTTGGTACGCTTCAAATTGCGACGGTTTAGCTCATGAATATTAATAGCAAAGCCTTCGCCGTACTAGGAACAGTAAATTCGCTTCCCGGTTGCGCACGGAGCGCCGCCGCCGTGATTGCAGCGAAACGGGGGAAGAACGAGACGAGTTGACTACAATCACTCTTTCTAACATCAAAGTTACACCATTTTCCCCGTTCCTTCCGTGCGTTTGAGTCATGTGAGGGAGCCTGTAATGTCCATAGAGCAGGATAAAGATTCATTCTCTCTAAAACGAAACCGAGGTAACGTGGATTTTCCGTGTTTTTAGAGGCTTGATTCGGTGTCGGTCGTAATTACCGGAGCGACAGCAGCAGTCTGGCGGCCTTCAGGCCTTTGGTGAAGAACAGAAAAGTAGACCGCGACATATTCAGATACGCATTTGAAAAGAAAAGCATGACAGGCCTCAAAGTGAATGCTGTCAGATGAATCCGACTTTCTGCAGAGTTTCTGGGAAGTTTGGAGCTGATCCGCAGGCGAGAGAAAATCATACCAGAGCTTATTTGTTAAATGCTCTTCAGTAGGTCATGCAAGTGGAGTCAAATGTTTATTATGTAACCTTAAAAAGCAAAAATCTAAGTTGAAGTTAAAAGAAGGTACAGTGAATAAGACAAAACAAAACATAAATTTGTGTATATGAATGTATAAATATAACAAATGCAATTTGCAATGAAACAGAAAAATTCAATGTGGCCATTCAAGTGTTATTTTAG